TCTTTGTCATGATCGGAAAATAACGGAAAAATCCGTCGTCAATTCAGTGTATAAATAATGGACTAACAATAAGTATGAAAAAGTCAGCCAGTATTTGACTCAATGATAAATTGTATTTGCTGACAAGATCATGATATCGACCATAGAACTTACGAAATAATGACTTTAAACGAGACTGCTGAATATTTTAATGAGTAATCATAGATTGTGACATAAGGATTGACAGTGGCAAATTTTATACTTGCGGCTTTATAAATTCCTCAGATCCAAAACACACAAACTCTGTCTTTTGTTCCATGTAAACCTTGTTGTTTTTAATCGCTAGAGACGCGGATCTTTAACATTCAACAGATATATTTCACTATGAAGAACTTTCCAAATTTTTTTAGAGCATCTCAATCTTCACAAACCATTAAAAATTCTAACCTTTAAATATTTTAACAAATTCAAAATTCATTGCCTCAGTGCATTGCCTCAACACTATATGAAAACTTCTTCACTGATTGGTCTAAAGGGGATGTTTAATCTTCTTAGTGATCCTACCTCTGTTATGTCCGGGTCCGTGTTTTTGTGCCCCTTTCACAGATTTGTATTTTTTTTTATTTGACATCAATCACTGTTCGCTATATTTACCTTTTTCATTTAGGTTTTTGACTTGCTTTACTGAAACTCGTCATAGTTTTTTGGAGTTAATGTGTAGCGTTTATATGGAGAAATTCAAAGTGCATCTGAAAAGACTTTATTAAAATAGATGCTATTACAGATGCAAGTATCTTTTGTTTGAAAAGGATTCTGTAGCAGCCAATATGTCCTACAATCTTCCTAAAGAATTTGTGTATCATAAATTTTCAAAGCTTTTGCAGAGAATATTTCAATTTTGAAAATTCAAAGAGCTTAAACATACCTAAAAAGATTTCTCTACCTTATAAAACTACTTATTTAACTTTATTTTACACTAACTTCTCTTGTATTATAGTTTTTTAATAATTATTAATAAAAGCATAGAGCACAATGTGCGTAAAGCCTTGCAAAGTCATTATTAGAGTTTTTAGGTCACTGTGTGTTTTTGAATGAACCAGTTTTTGCATTTGTATACTGCGATATTAAAACTTTTAAACTTTTAATGAAAAGACAAAGGAAATTTGTAAAATGTTTATACATTGGGATTTAGTTATTAGGATGATCAGAATTCCATCAATAGGAGAGAAAGATTTTCACATTCAGTTTGTATTTCCTTATTTTAAAGGGAAACAAGATCAAAAGTTGCTGTTAAGGCAAAAAACTTCATTCTTATCTCCAAATACAGAAAAAAGAATTGATCTTAATCAATGGGCACTCACATCCACCACTGACAGACATGTTATTAGAAGAGGAATTGCAGAGACTTTTGAATTTAAACATACCGTTTTGTTGACTTAATTAAATACACAATTGAGATTTCTCTAGTGATTTATTTTCCCGCTCCCTTTTGGAAAAGGATAATTTTACAAAGCTGGATTTCCCATGTAGGTCACGAGACATACGTTTGCCAGTAGACCTTCCTCTTCCTGAAGTTTAAAGCCTTAATTGTCAATGAAAATATGAAGGTAATTGATAGTAATCAAACCAAAATAAGTCCATTAGAAGAATACAAATTTGGAACAGAACAAACAGGGACCTCTAAAAACCTCAGAGGTGGGATCAGATGTCACTGAGGGGTGAGCATTTCATGTCGACTTGTCACACACTGTGCTTCTTGTCACGACTTTGTAAAACAAAAAACGGTGGTCAATTCATTGTAAGATTATACTTTATTATGTTTGTTGTATACTAAGAGTTAGTAGACCATCTAATGCTTTGTCCATCTATATTTCTTATGTTTTCAACCATAAAGTGTTTCTTGTTTTGTACCTTTCATACTTCTTAATCACCGCCATTTAAGATGATGTTTCATTGAATACAATACATGAATAGCTTACCTTATACCTTATTTGAGTTTTCTATCAAGTGTTTGGTTGATTTATTCACGGTTAAAGTAATTAGCGATATGTCTGTATCTATTAAACTTGGCTTTTTTTTTAACTTTCAGCATCATATTTTGTTTACTTTATAGAATAGGAAAATTGCACAGGCAGACTCTGATATTCCACGTAAACTTGCTTTTCCTTTTGGTTTCAGATGTGGACTTCGATGTGGTTATTAATGCTAAATCTAATTGTCTAGAATAAATGTTTTCCCCTTTCTTGCTGAATTGAGTACCAGATTTTAACCATCTTGGTCATCCTGTCTGATTTTCTAAAAATTTCTTTGACGTACGTCATGTAAAAACATGTAGGGGTATTAACATAAATGTATTTGTTAATTATAAACCGTCGTAAGAAGGCTTGAGTAAGACGGTTCGAAATTTCCACTTGCCTTAATGACTAAAACCTTTCTTAAGCGGTTTATTCAATTAAAAATATGATATGCATAGAAATGTAAAATAATGAAAAACATAGAATTAAAAACAAACTTGAGCTTCGATATTTATTTCAAATATTAAAACACTTTATAGTGATATTCATATTGATTTACATGTGAAACATGGTTATTTACATTCATGTCGTATTGTTTGTACATGTACATTATTTGTACATTTTCATAATAAAATGATTGTTTCTAAGAAGGACGTAGTTTGAAACCTACTTTTACAAATTTATATTCTCTCTTAAGATAAAATTCTTCAAAGCCGTTCTGTCTTAAAATATTTGACATTCTAGTCAACCAAGTTTAGTTTGACCTACATAAACTAGATTTTTAAACTGAAAAAAAAAATCTTTAAGAACAAGATACAAGTGCATTGCCATCAAATGCTCCACCAAGCGCCTGTATTTACATGCATGACACAAAATGTATTTCATAGTTTCAATTTTACTCAGATCATAGATATATATGTTTTTCACATTTGTAGGGAAAAAAATTAAGGATCCCTTCACTATATTTTCACTTGAATAAAATAATATTGTTGATGATAAAATTAACTTTTGATTAAAAGTGGAAGGTCAGCATATCTTAAGAAAATATGTGTTTTAGTGAAATTAAATATGAAATTTACTTTGCCTCTGATAATTAGCTGATGGTTAGTTGAAAGCTGATGAATATTGAAAGCGGGATAACCCCGAATGTATAACAGATATTAACCACACCGTTTATATTAATATCTAAATAAAAAACAAACAAGCAAACAAACGGTCCGAGAAAAAAGTTAAGAACACACAGGGATATAGTATTACTTCAAGTTGAAGCCTAAGATATGTCTCACGTCAGCTTTGTAAAGTTTGATAAAAATCTTTTACATCATAATTATCAATACCAAATTTATATTTATATTTAACTTTAAAATGACATTCAGTTGAAAATTCTGCTCTCAAAATCAGCAAAATAAAACTCTATTGGGATTCTTGTGATGGTAGGATACTAAAGAAGGGGGTTCTTAAAATATACAGATTTGATTTATGGTCATACGACACGTACCTGAAAATATATAATATTTATAAAAAGTATATATAGTTATAATTTTTCCCAAGAATTTGTCATTAAAATGTAGATACTTAACCACCTTACCAGGTATTAGGACAATATACCAGAGGGTGATATTATATAATTCCTATGGGTATTCTTCTGAATGGAAAATGTCTTTGTATGAAACACTTTTACACAAACATGATTTTTAAATGTTTCTTAATAATCAAAACGATATTTTGATTTAAAGACTGTTCTACTTGTTAATAGACTAGTACATGTACCAAAAGCATTGTGAGGAAGCATTTAAGACAAATAAAAGTGAATGTTGATTACTGTAGCGTTACGTTTTCAACTGTTTTTTTTTATTAATAATAACTTGATATTCAATAAATTACATAGTTACACTGTGTATCCAATATAGCTATGAGTTCCAAAATTTGACGGCTATACATAGAATTAAGTATCAAGCTTAGTCTACTTGTATATCAAGTCTTAATGCAATCATAAGTATGTATAGTGTACTTGTAACATAGCATCTTCGTCAAGCTTACTTTTGTATCAAAATTAAAAAAAAACAACGTATAAATATTGTCTTGTAGACGTTTTAACCACCTTTATGGAAATGATATCCAATTGTAATCTACTTGTTTCACTGAAGTCATTTCTTTGAGAAGTCTATTGCTTATCAAGTTCTTTTTTAGAAATCGTATCATAATGAAGCCTACTTTTGTTTCAGATTTTATGGAAATTTTGAAATATTTATCTCTGTAAAACTCATCAATAAACACTTATCAAATATATCATGTATCCATCTATCGTCACAAATAGGGACAGAAACTGCAAAATATTTCAAATTGTTAGTAGCTAGGAAGCGACTTTCTCTCTTGCAAGAGGTTTAGATTAGTTTAAATTCTCTCCATTATAGAGTTTAGTCGCATCAAAAACATAAAAGACAATCGTTTCAAAGCGTAGTCTTCTCCTTTATCGTGTTTATTTGAAATCTTTAAGAAATCACGTATGATGTGTAGAATTGAAATTGTGTCTTACTCCACCTCAGTCCGTGAATCAAGTTTTATTGAGTTTATAACTTTATATCCCATGAAAGTATTGAGTTTTTTTTTTAATTAAAATTGTATTATAATATTTAAAAGTCTTATTTATTTAGTTTGTATTTCAGAAAGACTTCTTTGAGTCTCATGAGTGTTAAAAATGAAAATATTTCTTCAATATTTTCTTGTCCCAATTGTGGCAAGCACTGTTGGAGAAGTGTGCATTTACAATGATAAATTAATTCAATTTATTATATAGCAGTTCTTTTAAGGATTGCCTCACAAATTTATTTGCATCTAATACCGGTGGTATGTAGCAAAAATAAATAAAATTACCCCGATTTAGAAGAGAGCAAGCAAACATGATTTTAAAGATGGTCTTGTAAAATTTATAGTAAATTTTTGAAATTCAATTTATTTTGTAAAACAAATATCTTATCAAATGTTCAGAATTGGGTGGGTGGGTGTCATTCAGGTATTTAAAATATATTTTGAATTCAATTGGTGTAAGAATCTCCAAAATCAAGTAGCCCTAGACGGATGTAAAGGAAACTGGAAGGTGTGATCAAATCAGAAGAAAACTGTTTTAAGGTTACATACATGTTCGTCCAAATCATATCCAAATTAAATTAACAATGGATGCTCGATTTTTAACACAAGTCATGTGTTATCGTTGTACTAAAAAGAAGTCCAGGAATTTGTCCGTTAGTTGTAGAGGTGCTGTTCGAACTCAGTTCGCTATCCCTAAAAGTAAATTTGACGCCATTTTCTGTGACACAGGGTTGACCATTGCTCACCGCGTAGCTTTGGGGACCAATCATCTTTAACCAGATTGTATATTCCTGGTTTGCTTTAAGTAAGCAGTGATTATCAAAGATTATTTGGAATTCTCTTTCAGTGTTGGTAACAGATTGCTCTGAAAAGCATGCTACTGTTTCATTGTCACTGTCTACTATTTTTGCTCCTATTGTGTATGTGTACGGACTTGTTTCATAACTTCCCAGCAAAATTAATCCACGCATGTGCAAAGATTTATTGACTCTAAACTGGATGGCGTCTATGTCACCATTCAAAGTCCATACATCCTGATAAGTTGTGCCTCTGTAAATAGCTATATCCTTTTTCTTACGAATTGTTAAGAAAGGCATTGTATCTCCATAAGGTATCCCTACGATACATTTTGAAATTTGATCTTTTTCTTGGTTTGTCAAAATGTTGTCCCCGGCAACTTCCTTCCAAAAGGTTTCTAAAGACATTAAAGGAAATCCAATTTGATACAAAAGATCTCCCATCATGCTGCGAATATTTTCAGAATTATTCACATCCTTCCCATCTTTTTCGCAGTTTTATGTGACCACAACCTTAAGGACTTGTAGAGAAATTCCTCATTTACAGGCAATGTATCTAATTTTAAGAGTGACAACAAACATTCTCTATTCAGACCGAGAAAGCCTTGTGACTGCAAAACTGTTTTAGCAGTAGCCTCAGACTGCACTATAAAGTCAATACATCTGGTGAGTAAATCATTTAAATTAAACAGCTTTGCATTCTCCATAATGGCGCAGACCGACTCCTCATTAATGTGATTTTTCAGGTAAAAATTACAAGCTTCTTTTAGGTCCGTTACACCATACTTCTCTGCCGCATACAGAGTCCCAGTGACACTTTCCTCATTTATGTTTGTTTCCTCGTAATAAAGGAACCTACAACGGAAAAAAGTAAAGGAGAGACAAATGTATGGAAGTCATCTTTATTCCAATAAATTTTTACTTCTTTTCCAAGTCAGAAATCGAATTTTATTTGCTACAAAGTCTCAAATGTATTCATGAAGTGCTGCTTCACATAGATATTTTTTCTATGCCGATTTTATATATTCAAGTGTAAGTTATTTAATTGGAAAGATACTCTGAATATTTCAAAAGTGCATTAGGTTCATGGTTTTTATACAAAACCCGAGAGTGATTATATAATGGACTGATTCTAGATTTCAAAATATACAGGACATACTTGTACTTCTTATAAGAAATACTGATTTCGAGTGAAAACTAAATATCAATAATTACTAGACCATACGTGTATTTTTTTTTCAAATTAAATAGTACATCTATTCAAAAAGGTGGATATACACATTTTGGATTCGAACCTGCGATGTAAAGATTTAACAGTATTTCTCCTTATCCTTGGTCAAGTGCAAACTTTCAAACCACCAAGCCACCCGCGAAAAAAGTTCTAGCAATGAATAAGTTTCAAGGTACTTTATATAATTTAACCAAATTATTTTTTTTAAGTTTACCTGAAAAGATCTTGAAACACTTCAGGTTCAATATCGGGCACAACGATGTTATTTGAATTACCCGAGAGACTTCCGAACAGCATGGTATAAAATACTGAACTCCTACTGCCTAAAACATATCGGTGTGCTTTTACTTCTTTTTTCTCCAGTCCCACCTTGAATGTAACATCACACTGGATTTGGTTGATTAACATGTACTTGTTACATTCGATAACTTTTCTTCCAGCTTGCCAGTTCCTATTCTCCTGATCCATTTTCAATAATTTGAATCTCAATCTATAAATCAACAACGAAATGAATACATTGACGTCTTATTGAAGCTTAGATTACAATGCATTAATTCTAAAAATGCGTTCAAACCATATGAGGTGTTTTAACATTAAAATTAACATTTTACATTAAAATGTATAATATGTATGTCGCATTTGGATTTGAATCCAATAGTTTTTGAAACCCCTTACTCCAAGACTCTTAAGAAAATGCTCTATAACCGTTTCGCCACGCGGGAGACTTATACCAATATTGTTAAATAATTAAAGATGTCAGGTTTGATCTCCGTAGATCTAGACACATTATAATTCTTTTTTTATTGAAACTTTTCACAAACAGTATCACAATAAACATTCATCACATTCAATTACCTAGTTTTACCCCTACTTTATCTATTAAATTTTACAAAGATGTAAATGAAAAATGGATGAAAATTAGTCGTATGGAAAATATGTATCCACTCCACGGGGAGATGAAACAACATAGAAATAATTTTATAGCACTTTCACATGGGAATGGGTTTCCATACAATTCGATGTCGATTCGATACACGGACAATTACATTAATATTATTATCTGCATATGTAATATGAAAGTCTGATATTTTCATCTTTGCCATTAACCTTTGCAATCATTGGATTTCATGGAGACTGAATGTACATGTACGATTTATGTCTTGCTAATATTAGTTGAACACGCGTATGACCCTGCGAAAATGAAAGTAAATGCATGTTTCTAATCAAACTGTGCAAATTTATAGTTCTATTTTTGCTCTTTAAATGCTGGAAAGTAAACTTGCAATGTATTATCGATACATATAGCACGCTGTAAAATGAAGCAAAATTTATAAAAAAAAAATTCAAAGAATACAGTACCACAAACAGGTTTAAAGTCTCCTATGTATGGTGAACAAAAATAGTAATTTTAAAAGAATAGAACTATCTCTGATCGAAATATGTACTAGAATTAAAGTGATGAGTTAGCCATTTGTTTCCAATACAGCACATATTTGGAGAGAATGCTTTCGAATAATCCTAAACATTACTGAAGAATTTAATTCTTGATTGAAATTATATTTATAAAAGTGTTGTTTTTTCAGTATGCACCTATATCAAACAATTTTTTTTCCTTAAGGGGGATGTACAAGCCATATTGGATCTAGTCTGGTGTAAACTAAGAAATACCAAGAATGCGCTTAATACTCTACTAAACTAGCTCAAAGTTACTCAAAGTGCTAATGCACTAATTACCTACTGTTAGAGACCAAAATTAGTAAACAATTAAGTTTATTTTGTCTTAATTAGAAGAAAATTAATCATGTTAGAACTGCGCAGCTACAGCATTCATGAGATGAAAAATGCATTGAAAATGGAGTTAGTTTGATTCATTGATAATATGGCTACAACCATTTGTTTCGTTTTTTTCTTGTCATTATCCATAATTCTTGAAAATTTGATTTTTCATATGGGTGTCTTCCTGAGGCCATGTGTTTATTTCGTCCGCCATTCCTCTGTCACACAGAGTTCGAATATCAATGATTTTAGAATAAATGCGACCATAATAACACCAAGACAAGAAATTACTAAGTAATAATCATTAGGTTATATTACTTACTACTTTCATTTGTTGCATCGCATCGTCTGATTAATGAAAAAACGCGATTTTAACCTCACTCCAGCAAATCGGGAAAAACTGTTCTGTTTACAACTCGAAATTCCTCGTTAATATTATTCCACTAAGCACATGGTTGACATGTGCATATATCTGTTGTGGATAAATCCGTTTATTACCATGATTATATTTAATTTTTATGGAACAAGTCTTGATAATTTGTTGGTTTCTTTAAAACTCAAGAAAAAAAGATAAAAATGTCCTAAACATATGTGTTTACGGTGGGTCTTTTTTCTGTGGCGATAGAAGTTATTTTCAAATGGGGCACTGCAAGGAGGATGCTTAGCATTTAATTTGAAAATGTTAAACAATACGCAGTGCATGAAAAATAAATTGTAATTACATGTCTTACATTCAAAAAGTTGGTACATATGTCTATTTTGTTTATAAGTTAGATAGAAAAAATAGGCAGTTATAGGATTTCCTTCAGGCACCTCACATAAATAGCTAGAATGTTTGCAATGACCCACACATTGTATGGGGTCATGTTTGGACAAAAAACGCATCATGTCTCATTATGTTGACAACGTTGTAAGCTCTCGCTCATTGAACATACGAAGCTTGATAAAATATAATGAGTTGTTTCTATGAAATTTAGAAGCGAGCACAATGTTTGCAATGAAAGGTCCATTGCATATGCTATGTCTATCATCGCAAAAAAAGTGAGTGCTAACCCCACCCCCCCCTCCTCCGAAAATCCTTTGTTTGTTTTTCAAAATAGTGTCAAAGATTAAAAAAAATTGCATTACTAAGTATGTGATGGAACATGTACTAGCCTTATAATACCACTTGTTATAAAAATATTTGGTTGCCCTCTCTCCCGATCTACTGCCTAGAAATGGCCCGACTCATTTTTTTAACATTCCATTACACGATATTTTTTTCTTTTTCTTCCGTAAACAATTCTGTTTAAATTTTAAGGATTTTTTTTCTCACCTATAAATACGGACCCAATAATTTTTCCCTGAGTTGGGAGGACCACCAAACATCATTTTAAAGATGTTTATAGGTTGATTTTTTCTCTTTACTTTGTACAATTGTAATTTTGAAAATATGGGCAAATAGAAAAAAAAATTATGTTCAAACTAAATAAATTACTTCAAGCCACACTATAACACCTTTCCTCCTTTAAAAGTGTTCATATTATTTGAAATATTTTGCAACTGTAATTCTCTTCTACATTTAAAGATTGTTATGCCCCTCCATATTAAGAAGAGGTCTGGAAAACAAGATTCTGTGCTAAAAATAGACCACGTGCTGCTATCCATGAACTACTTTCATGGTTCTTTACACTCTTTTTGAAGACAATGGTACCTTGTTTTGAACTTGAAATTATCATTTAAAAGTGCAAAATTTAGACATTTTCTCAACAAATGGTTGTAGAGAGAACATTAATGCACAGTTTGCATATTTTTTTGGATTTTTTAAGGCTCTGCTGAATTCTGTAGCTGCGCAGTTCTAAGGAGCATATCAAAAAGCATTTTTCTGCAAAAGTATAGATTATATATGCACAACATGCATTCGGTTATGCATATTTATTGTATCTTTATCAAAAAGACTTAAAATTTGATCAAAATATAATGTATTTTAGCCATTTGAAGAAATGTTTACATTTTGCTCTCACTGCACTAAAAGTGGCCGTACATCCCCCTTAAAGGTATGTGATAAGGATTTTGAAAATAAAATTAATGCAAAATCGTAACTTTTCCAAATTTGAAAACAATTAATGTTTGCATTTTTGTATCCGACGGTAACATTTTAAACGACTGTGCACTTACATGAATTTCATCTGTGCAAAATGGGGCCAAATGAGGTAATAATAATAATAATAATAATGTAATATAATGCTGTTGTTGAGCTTTAAGAACACCCTTTAAAGAAAGGGAAGCACATCAAATCCAGCTTAAAGATTACACCGGTAAAAATTCTGGAAATTTGTCGCTTCAATTCTAAATTCAATGTAAATACATGTTATGTACAATATGACTAAAATGCATTAAACCCTAGCGAGTAGTAAGCTGATGCCTCTCAAAGCCCCAAAAGGCTACACAACCAATAAATAGTATTTTTGTGTGTGTCACGGGTGGGGTCCGATTTAACTAAAACCTTTTTGGACAGATGGGTTTATAGTAAGCTCCCAAACTATATTTGCAACAACTGATAATCTCTGAAAAGTGATGGGCCACCACCCTATCCTCATTCCCGACACTACAGCTCAACACACTGTATAAACTCACATGGTTTTTCGCACAAATTAAGATCATTTAAACAATAAAATGCTGTCTTTGTTTGTTATTACTGGAATTAACGGAAGCAGCTGTTGAAGAAAAAATACATAACCCGCGACCGTTAATTCCAGTAATAACAAACAAAGAAAGACATTTTATTGTTTATATTTATATCTGTTTAAATAATCATTTAAAGTAGGATTAAAAAGATTAATTATTGTATTAATGATGCGAACGTCTTTATACGTTTCATTGAAGGAACAGCCACTGATCAAGAAATTTGTACAGGCGACATGCCAAATGTAGTTCATGCAGTGATTAATGCAATGGGTTTTCTTAAGAAATAAAGAAGAAAATATTCAGTGGATGTAAATATATTGTTATAATGCAAAAATCGTGTAATGTGACAACAAAATATGTGTAAGAAATGATTTATAACTTAATTTGATCATATCCCATTACTTTAATCATAATTCACACATAATAATTGGTAGGATTTTTATATGCTCTTGGATGATATCTTAGGAGAATTTCCAAAAGGTTTTTTCATTGTTTCTCGTCAAATGCAACCGTCTTTGTATCCGACCATTTTAATGCATACTTTTACCTTGCCTTAATACAGAAACAGTGCAGTTCATGTTATTTCTGTATTTTCTGAACATTATTATGACACTAAGGCGTAAGATGACAGAGGCATTTCCCATCTGTTCGACTCCTTTCCATGTTCAAAAGATGGCATTTTTTCAGTTCAACTTCCTGAAATCTATAGCATCATGAAAGATACCTTCCATCGCAAAATTTCAGAGTTTCAGACCATAAATGTAAATGAAGTTTCTTTTCGATATTTACAATTTACGCTATTGAAAGATAAACAATACTTTATTATCCTATCCTTTTGCATGATTTCTTTATGCAGTTTTTTTCATTTTTCGGCGCTGAATTTCGACAAAACCAAGAGAAGTATGAAAAATGTGCAAAGCACCTCGAAAAGTACTCATTTTAAGAAGTAAATTTGAACATTTCAACCAAATAGTATCATAGAAAGTTCCATTGATTAATTTGTAAAAACCTATGATTGAATCATACATATTTAACATCATACAATTTATGAACAAACCTTTTAGAGCACTGGCTTTTTAAACTTAAGATACTGATTTTAAAGAATGTGCACCTGTAAAATGAAACCATTTAATACAATAATGGTTATGTCTCGTACTGAAACTCGATACTTTTAAGCTTTATTGCAAGAAAATCTGACTTTAATTTGTGCGAAAAACCATGTGAGTTTAAAAAATGCGTTGAGCTATATGTATTTGAAACCAAAATATGTAAAACTAATCAAATTAGAAGTCAAATGTTACTAGATTTGAAATGGCCTTTATATAACAAGATCAATTAAATATGCTGATATTTAATATAATCGTGTGATTATAACGGTATTGAAAAAAGAAATCCAGGAATTTGTCCTCTAGATCCATTCGTGCCATTAGTACACAGCTCGCTATTCTTAAAAGTAACTTGAACGTCATCTTCGGTCACCATGGAGTGACAATTCTTCATCCGGTAGCTTTTAGATCCAAACATCCTTAACCAAATTGTATAATCCTGGTTTGCTTCAACTAAACAGTGCTCATCAAAGCTAACTTGAAATTCTTTGCCACTGCTGGTAACCGGTTGTTCTAGAAACCAACATACAGTTTTATTATCACTATTTATTATTTTGACTTCTACTGTGTAGGTGTACAAATCCTTTTCACAACTACCAAGCAGAATCAATCCGCGCATGTACAAAGTTTTGTTAACTCTGAATATGAGTGCATCTATTTTACCATAAAACCTCCAGAAGGGATGATAATCTGTGCCTCTATAGATAGTGATGTCCTTTGTCCTATGACCTGTTGGGAAAATCAGTGCATTTTCAACAGGTATACCGGCAATAAATTTTGACATTTGATCTTTTTCTTGGTCTGTTAGAATGTTGTCCCCAGCTAACTTCAGGAATGTTCCCAATGGCATGAGAGGGAATCTAACATGATGTAAAAGATCTCCCATCATGCTTCGAATATTTTCCGTATTATTCACATCATTCCCTTCCTTATCACAGTTTCGAAGTGACCACAACTTTAAGGATTTGTAGAGAAATTCCTCATTTACAGGCAGGTTATCTAATTTGGTTAGTGACGCCAAACACTCTCTATTTAGCTCAAGAAAATTCGGTGACTCAAACACTGATTTAGTAGTAGCCTCTGATTTTACTATAAAGTTAATACATTTGGTGAACAAGTCATTTAAACTAAACAGTTTTGCATTTTCCATAATGGTACAGACAGACTCCTCACTGATGTGGTTTTTCAGGTAAGAATTACAATATTCTTTTAGGTCAGCCACACCATACTTCTCTGAAGCATACAGAATCCCTAAAACATTTTCCTCCTTTACAGTTATCTCCTCATAATAAAGGAACCTACAATTCACAAAAAATGAAAGTATGTAAATCATCTCTATGACATCCATGCCATTTGTATTTTTAAACACTTCTCCAAATGCATATTCATTCGACATATACCACACATGTATTTAAGATAGAAAAGTTGTACTTTTTAATTACAGTCAAAGTTTCCTTTTAAGGACACCACGGAGGGAGTGCAATCCGAAAAAAAATCATATAATTCATGTAATCTTTTTTTGACTTTCAAAGAGTAGGCAATTTGAATAAGTTTATTTCATTTTAAATAATTATTCAATAACAATTAAGGATATTCGGAACTCATATATATATGTATATTATAAACTGCTCGTAAAATGTTCACAATGTCAGAAAAAAATTGTTTGCATGAGTATTTATGTAAACCTACCTCAACAGTTCTTGGAAAATATCGGGTTCAATATCAGGAACAATGATGTCAGTAGAATTACCCGAGAGACTTCCGAACAGCATGGCATAAAATACGGAACTCCTACTGCCCAAAACATATCTGTGTGCTTTTACTTCTTTTCCCTCTTGCCCAACCTTGAATGTTACATCGCACTGGATTTGTTTGGTATACATGTACTTGTTACATTCAAGAACTTTCTTTCCAACTTGCCAATTGTTACTGGACTGATCTATTTCCGACATCTTGGATCATCATCTGAGTGGAGTTGACTTTAACTGTAATTGACTTTAAACAGTTAAATATAATTTATTACATCAGCCTGTAGAAATTATAGTGGGGAAAATGTTCCTTGTACCTTGTTATATACCATCAATTCTATCTCTTTTATTTAAAAAGAATGTTAGTACAGCTTCGGGAACTGTTATTAAACCTTTGCATATAGTTACGTGATACGTTGGAGACGTGCATTTACTTAAGGAACTTATTCTATGAAAGTCTAATAAAAAACGAATGATTTTCATTTATAGGCAAGCATACATTTCAAGTCTGCATCGTATATAATACCTCTTGAAATCTGAGGCTTTTTGTGTTTTTTTTTTAATTTGTTGAAAGTTCCTTTTAAACGTGTCCTCTCTTCTTTCTATAGCAGAAAACCACCTTAATTAAATCATAACATAATACAAAGAGAACTGATCAAATTAAATGATTATAAATAAATATTGTATTATGCAATTTTCAGGTAATATCATATTATACAATTTTTTTTTTAATTTGTAGACGTATTATACAATAATCATTAAACAACAGTTTTACTAAATTTTCTCGCTAGTAATATTCAAATATATCCAAATAAAGAATTAAACCGTTGTGTTGAAAAATTAAAAAAAAACTTTGGATAAAATAGTGAAGTGAGATATATCATTTAATTATACTTTGGTATATATTATAAAGTAATTAAATATTTCAATAGTTTTGGGTGATAACTGAAAATAAAAATGATTTAAAACTATAATATGGTTTTCAAGAATTTAAATGTATTATAAGTAGGTCTCCCTATTCTGTATATTGGACAAATGAACTCCATATCAAGATTAAAATATTAAACTATAAACAGTGTATGTGTAGTATATTGAATATTAAGTGTTTGTTAAAATGTATGGATTTCTAATGGACTAATTATTTTTAAGTCGTAATTTTATTTAAAGATATTTAAACATCACGACCTACGTCCAATAAAATAACGCTTATATACATGTAGGTATTTTTCTTTAATATAGGTAAGTAATGATACACTGCGTGTCCCTCTGAGTAGGCCTCTTTAACAAATCATGACTTTTTACATCATTACTTATTTGGTATTAAGCGAATTAACCGTTCGGGGAAAGCTATTGTCAGATATTTTCTACGTATATGGAAAATATTAAAGTAATATGAACAAAGGAGACCAGAGAGAAGATAATAATAAATATATATGTATATATTACCACTGATATCCAATACGAAGGGCTCTTCATGTGTCACTATTCTTTAACAAATATGGAGAACTTTAAATACGTATATCAACAATGAAATCGGGTCGAAGTCCAATCCGTTATTTTGAACCAGTTTCAATATCATGAAGTAAATGAGTAAAGGGGGAAATTGGGACCGGGTCATTTAATTCGATTGAGTCCAATAGATGAAGTGACTATACAATCTTTTTTTGTTAGATATGGATTCTTTTCATAATTACTGTATTAAAAAATGAAACGGTCACAGTTTCAAGAAGACAGGCAGTAACTGATGGTGTCAAATTAATATAAGAGTATAAGAAAGAAAGTACGATAAATAAATGTTAACTTAAAGGCTGAAGATAGCACACAGTGATCATTCTGGATAAAAATAAATAAATGAAAAAAATGTTGAGAGCAGGGCACAAAACAGTGACTCGAAAAATTCCAGAGGTAAAATCAGATGCCCAGAGGGAGTGGGCAAAATTGAATTCATTAAAAAATAGAAAAGAATGCCAGACATGTTTATAGTATTATAATAAAATCATTTTTAACGCGAAAAGATTATTTAATTTTAAAGCCAAAGTTCCGAATTATTCTAATCTGGAGTATGATAGTAAACATACTGAAAAGGCTTACATTTGTGACTCGTTTAAGGATGCAGGGAAACACAATACAGACAAATGCAAATCAGTCGATCCTGAAATCTATCTGCATATAAAATAACGCTCTGAAAACAGTGATGAAATTATGGTCTTGTGAATACTTAAAAGAAGAAGGTATCCATTGAAATATGTTCAAAGTCAGAAAATATCTGCTTATCTTTAAAAGCAAATTTTCTGACACATTCAATAGTATTTTTTATGTCACCTGAGTAAACTCACGTGTTTTCGTCCTTCGTCGCTGTCCGTTTTCGTCCGTCGTCGTGCGTTAACATTTGAACATTTTCAGCTTCTTCTCTGCAACCACTCAACCAATTTCAACCAGATTTGCCACAAAGGATCTATCGGTTAAGGGGAACAAAAAATGTGAATTTCATGGTCCCTGCCCCACTTGGGCTTAAGGGTGGGGCCAAAACCAATAAAATTAATGCAATCTTTAAAAAATCTTCTTCTTTACTCCTGGACATCAGGCAGTCAAAATGTTTGCATGATTGTAATCAGCATTTAGTCCTCTACCAAAATTGTGAAATTCATGGCCCTTGGGTCAAGGGTTTCAGTGCTAGGGCGGGGCTAAATAAATTATATAGTGATTTCTTTGAAAACCTTCTCCTTTGCTCTTGGGCATTAAATAAACTAAATAAGTACATAGTTATGATGAATAAGGCTGCCTCTTCCAAATTTGTGAATTTCGTGGCCCCAGGGACAGGGGTTCTTAGGTGCTAGGGCGGAGCTATATAGATTATATAGTGAAAATGCATTATTTCTTTGAAAATTTTCTTCTTTGCTCCTGGGTATGTAATAAACAAATCAAATACATAGTTATGTTGAATAAGGCTGCCTCTTTTGTTAATTTCCGTAATTACTGAATTTCATTATTTCTTTGCCCCCTGGGTATTTAAGAATTAAATCAGGGGTTCTGGTGAATTAGGGCGAGGCTCTATTAATTATGTAGTGAAAATGCATAAATTCTTTGAAAATCTTCTCTGCTCCTGGGTATTAAACAAACTAACCAAGTACATAGTTATGTTGAATAAGAGTGTCTCTTCCAAAATTGTGAATTTCATGGCCCAAGGGTCATGGGTTCTGGTGTTAGGGCGGGGCTCTATTGTATAGTGAAAATACATTAATTCTTTAAGGATCTTCTCCTCTGCTCTTGCGTATTAAACCAATGAACTATGTACATAGTTATGATGCACCCATTCTCAATATAAGGGCTCAAATAATGTCGCCTCATTTTCATTTAGATGAAATACCACTGATGTAATTTTAAATCAACATTATAAATAGTCATATAACAATGAATAAGAATTCATATAATTATCGATCTGAAAAAGTATTTAAGGAGTTCCAAATTCAAATATAGTAGCCTATTTGAAATGCACGTTATTGTCGCATGCAAATATTATGCCTAATGTAATATATAGTTTTGATTCTCAAGTAAAAATTTTCTGATAAAATCAACCTTGTATCATATATATTTCTTTTCATAACAATAAATACATTTTCTTTGTGATAATAAATAATTTTTATTGTGCAATGTCCCTGTCGCTTAATTCTATTTAAACCACATTACAAGCAAACACAAAGATTATACACTTGATAGTTTTGTTCTCCTTTATTTATTGATGGGCTAAATTTGAAATTTCAAACGATTAATTACTCCTACTTAGATAATGTAACATGAAATTGAACAATTTGAGCAACTTTTATAAATATATTTACGGAATGAAAGACATTTTCAATCGTAGAAATAAGAAAGAAATGTACGTTACCTATATTCTTCCATTAAGAATAGATATTAAGTAGAAAATATGAGACGACTCTGAATAAGCAACCCCTTGTATCCTGTAAACTGGCAAAGACGTTTTGCTTAACACAATTAAAAATTATTTTTTACATGAAAAGTATCATTTGAAATATACGTGACTGAAATGTACATGAAATTCGAATTAAGTGAATCTCGCACGAATTTTCATGTATTCTCATACTTTCACACACTCGAATGTGTACACAAAGGAAAGTTTCAAAGGTTGGAGGTCGGCTCAACCCAAAATTAATGAAAAGAAACGTTTCTGCTGAGGAAAAAAATATATTAAGGTCAATTATATGTAATTTATAATTTTGATACCTGGTATATATTTCTGAGTACGAAACCTGTATGATGCATTTCTTATGATATGCAAGTTCAAATAGAATCAATATATTGCGTGTCTAATGTACGCTTGTGGAAGGGAATTGATTTTTATATTTGAAATGTACGTTACGTATGGTAACGTACATTTTGCGTATTTCTAACTGTTTTTTTTATTTAGTCAATGAATTTCGTTTACACGAGCGAAACAAAATTATCGTTACAATCCATTTGACAACTGATCACATAAATCCATTGCACCCCCAATCCTGTAAATGTGGTAGACTGTTACCACATGCTAGAAAATTTATTTCTAAGTGTCTTAAATTCATCTTTAGCAACCTTTTTGCAGTTTGTTTACTTTTAATATGCGACTTTTCGTCAATATTAATTTAATTCTTGGATAATTTAAAACAAGGTATGCGTAGGCTTATAATTGGTAAAAAACAAAACAAAAAAAGAAAAAAGAAAGAAAGAAAAGAAACAAAAACAAATAAACCCAGAACACAAGACGGTCACGTACATTTCAAATACTGAAAGGCAAACAATACTCAGTTTTGTTTGAATCATTGCATTTTGGGTTATATTTTCCAGATCTGCTGAAAAGCACGTAATGTATGTTTGTGTTTTGACATGTTGCTACTTGAAATTGTTAACAAAACCGTCGATGGATATATTCTAGATTTATGTATTTCAATGGCCAAACACGAGCATTTGTTAGATCATAGCAAATAAACTCTTATTTATTTTTTTTTTGTCTGTACCCTTGCACACATAGAAGTAACTAGGCTACGGTGTTAATTTCAGCGAAACAGCACCAAAGAATGGTTGACCTGAGGTGGAGGGGACTCCCAAATAATATGTGAAATGAACGTTACCGATGTAACGTGACATTCATGTAGTTAATGAAAAATAACCTCGTTTGTTACATTATCTTATATTACTGCATTAAAACGCTTCATTGAAATGATTTTTATGTCAATAATTGCTTTTTTTCAATAATCTTTCTTATTACTAATTTACATATTATTACAAGCTTGAAATGTATGTTACCTACTCACTTCTGAGGCAATCGTGTCTTTATAGTGGTGATTGTGACATATAACACAATGTGATCACATAGAGAATCGTTTTTGGAATAAACTGAAACAAAACGATGAACTTTTAGATGAATTTTAAGCTTTTTATTAAACAGAAATATATCTTGAAATGTACGTTATATTTACGTAGTTTTCTAAATCGGCATGGATATATGTTTAAAAAAACAGTAACTACAAAATAGAATTTTACTACATGTACATGTTAAGTTCCAGTATCTATAGAAAATGAAAAGATTCCAAACTGATCGTTTAAACAAAA